CAGATGCATATTTGCTTGACGTTCAGATGTTCTGTGGATTCGACGGCACTAATAGAACATAAAGTATAAACATTGTAGTGTTAGTTTAAAGCACACCTTCGTTAGTTTCAGTTCTCATTTGTTAGAAAACCCATATTATTGCTATAACAGCCATTAGTAGTATATCATGACACTTCTACAGCTTGTACTGATAACCAATTCGAATCTTTCATAGTGTTTTGAACATATCTGCGTGTATTTAATTTAATCTGATTTTTTGAGTAGAATATTTAGGCAATTAAACTTAATTGTGTGTGTCATCTCACAACCTTACCTTCATAAGACAAGTTATGGCGGCAAAACTTCCAAACATTGAGAGCATCAGCCCGAATGCATTATTGATCTTGTCCGTCGTACTATCATACACCGACAGAATAGACTCCATAAGTGCCAAAAACATTGCAAATGTTCCTAAAGTGAGAAATCCAAACACTGTCCACAGGATAACTTTTGTTACAAACGATCCACAACAACCATAACAACTATCATGTTGAACCGGGAAGCTTGTCAGCAAGGATTGAGCTGCAGCATTTATGTTTTCTCTCGGTACCTAAGAGAAGATCATACAAATTAATGTACGTGTGTTGTATTCTAACACATACAATGTTCTTTTCAGGGAAACTTTATTGTAGTAATAGTATATGCAATAAATATAATACATACTCGGATTCCCTTCGCTATGAGCAATTCATAGATACTGTTCGAGTCAAATTTGGAATTCTTATCAATTCGGATAATTGTTTTCCCATTATATGTATCTGTAATGAATGAATGAATGAATATAGATATATTGAGGATGATGATTCAATTTTTCTATAGCTGGTATCACAGAGGCGATGTGGTGCTCCAGTATGCTAGTTGATAATCTCACCTATTTCCGATAGCGACTCCTGCACAATTTCGTCAGTAATATCTGCAAGAAAGTATTTCACATATATATTATGTATTGATGGCTCTGTCAAATCCAGGTCAAGATGAGTGTTTCGAATCATGTATTAAATCACAGAATTTTGAAAATTGTTCATGGATCTGAACGCGTTGGGGTCAATAAATACTAATATATGTTATGTTGAGTTACCTGAAGTAATTCTTTCCAGGAACTTCTCCCAGAACTGTGGATCTCTAACATCAAGGTAAGTAAGATGTTTGATAAAATCTGGTACAATGCACTCACTCAGCAAAACGGGAATCATTACCTTTTGTTCTCGACAAAGATGCTCATTGAAAATCACCTGAGCTTCATAGCCACACCATGGGCTATCAAGAAAATCAGGAGTCAACACCAATACTGTTCTATCGGTGTTTCGGATGCATCTAATAATATTATCAACTATGGGTCTGCCCCCAATGAAATCTCTTTCATCAAACAGACACTCAATGCTATGATTTTGTTCTAGTCGCTCTACAGTTTCCTCGACCCAGGCACGATCTTTGCTACTATGCGAAAAGAACACCTTTGTCGCACCTTCTCTGGCAGTGGTTGATAATCCATCATTCCGAGTAATGTCCGTGACATGTTGCACACTTCCTTCATGGCAAGCGGATGCTGGAGTATAATGAATACGTTAATCACAATAAATACAAATATGAAAATTGGCTCTTAAGTTATGTTTGTGTCTGACGCAGGATTTAGTCATTAATGTGTGAAGGATAGCTTGAGTAATTTTGTATACAAAAAAATTCAAACATAGTTATACAGATCATGGTCATAAAATATTTCCCAGGTTCGATTGTCCTTGTCTAATTGTAAAATACTATGAGATATTGACAAAATTAAGCCCCAAATCTTTGAATATTTAACAAACAAGGATATTTTCCAATTCTTCTTAGAAACTAGCAGCAATTGCGTTGATACTTAATATATCTTGAGTGGTTCTCATATTTATGTTTGTGAGTTTGGTTTACACGTGTACTTTCAAATTAGCACTAGAAAACAACAACAAACTCAGGTGAGAGCAGTGAATTAATTTTCTAGAAATTTCTTCTGACACGCAAATATTTAATAAAATAATAGGTGAGAGAAATATGGATGGCTATGGATGAAGAATGCTTTGTCGTCTGAGCTATACAAACATCTTGAAGCATAGAACCGGAGTTGGTGGCTCTATAAAATGTCAACGTATTTGTAGGCTCAAACGACCAATAGGAAGTGTTACAGTCTTATAAATAATAGATAGTCGAGACAGATATATGGTGGTTCTTCATGATCAATGTTTTCGTATAATAAATAGGACATTTAAATAATATTCATGAGATATTCCTACGTCCTAACCTCATTGTTAACATAGTTAGTAAAAAACTGCGTTATTTTCCGGTGCATCACATGACTTGAGCTTACTAAAATACACATCAAACCCGAACATCTTAACAAATGGCTGACTCTAGAGTTTAGTAATTATTATATAAATTATGTTTTTTTCTTTAAAATTGCAGAATTATAGTGCATAGCTTATAGTTTCTTATTCTTTAAACATGGACTGCCGCCTAATAGTGAGAAGATGCATTCGTGTTAAATGGGTGCTTAGACTACCAAATGTCGGTTGTCTGTAATATTAATTCAATATTTACTAAGACGTTGTAGTTCCTACTATGAGAAATTAATTGTACAGTTTTCAGTTTCAAATATTTCATATATTTGCTTTATTCCTCCGACGGTTTTATATATTAAACATATAATTGCCATGATTACTACCGACTCATTTTTAAAATCCAGGCCACAGTCCCTACTCCTATTCCTAATTCTGATCGCCATAACTCTAAGTAGCTTGTGACGAAACATGCGCTGTTAACATGAATCCACCGTGAACTTTGAACCAAGTTAATATGTAATCAAATACAATTAAACGTCGATAACAGCAGGGAATATATGCGACTGAAATAATGCAAAATGTAAATAAAGTCAAGAATTATCGAACCTGCTTTCAGCTCAGTATTTTTTCGACAGTGTTCACAAAGTGTGTATATGACATAAGCGTGAGAATACAATACAGATAAAACATATACATTTGTTGCTACTGGACTTTGGCCATACACGTATTGACAACAACTACGTTGTCAATACGGTTATGTCAGCCATTGGTAAAAAAGGTGCTAACAACATTTTTGTATGTTCTGCATAAAAATATTATATCATTTCAGTTACACTTGGCCGTTACAATTGATATTGTTACCGTCA